AGATCTCCACAATTTTGGAGTCTGGTGCTTCAGTTCATCCTCCTTAGCAACAGACAAATACTCTTTTCTTATCCACCTGGTCAACAGAAGCTGCTTAATGCTGACCCCCTCTGCATGGTGGATTTGTTATCATTCCCTTGCTTGCTTCAGACAAAATCCTCTAGGTTAACCTAACTGATGATCTAAACTAACCTGGCTAAGGATTGTTCTCTTTTGCCAGAGAAGTCTCCTTCTCTGAAGACATTCAAAACGTGCCTGGGGGCAGACTTGTGCAACCTGCTTTAACAGGGGGGTTGGACTAGATGATCTCCAGAGGTCCCTTCCAACCCCTGCCATTCTGTAGATCTGTGATTATGTGATTCTGTGATTATAGACCACTGTAATGAATTCTCCATTGGCAAAAGAAGCAGTGGAGCAGCCAGCAGTGACAAAACAGAGACAGCACTGTCTCCCATCAGCACAACTAGATTCAGGGGAAGACATGTCTTCATGCTTTTACTCCAATCTTTTTCATAAAAATGTGAAAACAACTGGGCAATAACTGTGGGTGTAAGAGCATTTCCCATTATCTAGTAAACTGGATTATTTTATGAGAAAGACCAACAGTTAAGTAAAATAATGACTTACAGTAACTTGCCTAAAGGGTTTTAATGTGAAGAGTAGAAATATTTATGAATAAATGAGGTCTTATGGAAAATAAAAAAATCTACCATGACACTGAAAACCATCAGAACATGGGACAGTCTTCTAAGACATGGTTGAGTCCTCAGCAAAAATAGCAGATTGAAGTACACAAAATACTTGCTGTGCAAAAGGTTAGTAATCCTCCAGTGGCAGAGTGTCAGATGAAGGGACCTGATTTTCTGAGTCTCCTCTGTCTATCTTGGTTGTCCTACTGTAAGCTGCACACCAACATCAGAAATACAGACTCTACAAAGATGGCAATATTTTGGTATCCTTTCAAACTAAGGACATGATGAATTTTCTTTGCTTCTAATTGTCTTCATACAAAAAAATAGCTTGATATGGACAAGGCATGGCAGGGGTAGATCTTGGATAACAAAATAAAAGTAGGTCTTCATCTCAAAAGACATGTTTTGTGAGATGATTATACATCTGACAAGACTTATGCCTTGTTTTTACTCCCGTGACTAGAAGGCTTCTTGCTTAATTTTATTTGCAAACAGCTGCAAGACTCAGCATGTGAAGAGAAGAACATCCTGGATGAGTATTCTGGGCTAGCAGCCCAAAACTTGTTATGATCATTATACATGCCTCACACGGTATGTGACAGTTTTCCCATCTTCATATGCGATTATTTGTGTAAAAGGAGAGCTGAAAGGGCTATCTTGGAGTATAATTTTGCAACTCCAAGGTAAATAACAAAAAGTCAACAACAAAATTAGAAACTGATAGAAACATGAACAGACTTCTGGTTTCCTAATGCACTATGGGTAGTGCTATAATAATCAAGCCAGCAAAATTCAAAGCTCTGAAAACAAATCCAGTGGTTAGCAATTCTTAAAATATGCAGCTGAAGGAAAACATGAAATTCTTCACTCTCACTTCAGAAGTTATCTAAAGCCTAGCTCTCCAAATCCTATTATCGAGTCTTTTTACCTTGTTAATGTTGTTAAATGCATTCCACTTGGGTATATTATTTGCAAAGAACAAGATTTTTTTGATTTTGTGGTCTCTGTAATAATCCTCCTAGTATTTTTAAATGCTCCATTTTTAAGGCTTCTGCAAGCTGTCATATGTAGACTTTGTTGATGATTATGTTGTTGATAGTTATGCTACTTCTTTCAGGGTTTCTGCTGCTGCCTGTACAGTGAAGGCTGCAATGGAAATCTGCCTCTTAACCTCTTCCCAGGCTTCATGTTGATCAGCTTTGTTTTTAATGTCAAACATGGCATCATAGATCCCTGGGAATGATTCTCCTGCGTACTTGTTATGGCTGCTTGGAGCAAAGATAACATGTCTGTAGGGAAGTTGAGGGAAAAAAATAACAATATTCTGCATTAGGAAAACAAAACATATTATTTTCTGAATAAAACTAATCTGTTTCTATATCATGTGTTAAATTCTTGACGCTGAAGATGAAAATAAATACGATTATTGCCGCAATCTATGAAGCAAGAAAATTACATAAACTACACTATTCCATGTGAATTCCAGAGCTTTGTAGCTAGGAAGACTTGAGATAAAGTTGACTAAAGTATGTTCCTTTCCCTCATTTTAGATGAAATGGAAAGATAAAAAAAAAAAGCCAGCTTCTTTTCTCAGCTATACACAATCTCCAACAGACATAGGCATGCTTTGAGGTAGGAGGGCTGATGCTTTAACAAGAGACTGTTCTCAACAGGTTTTTAATCAGAAGATATGAGAGGTACAATGACCGTAGATCTTAATTTCTCCTTCTACAACTACTTTTTAGTGCAACATTTTAGTGTACTGTAGATTCAGTAGATTACTGTACTGAATTATGCAGACTGGTTTTCTATCAAAATGCTAGACTTGCCTTGACTATTCTGCCTCTCAAACAAGATTTACATCTTGAACTAGATGAGGGAACTACTGAATTCATTTCACTGCTGTTGAAGTACTGCCCTCCACACTGTATTTGCTAGCATGACTCTTCTGCTATAATTGATCAAATTGTAGATATTTCAATTATACCCTATTTCACTTTCAAATCATAACTCCCTAAAGATCCTTTACCACTGATATTACTTGAACTGAATCAAAGGCCAGTATTTTAGATGTTTAGAAGCCCACAGAAATCAATGGAAATGCATTTACTGATCCAAATAGACTTCCAACAAGACTTTTCCTCATTCTGTATAGCGTATCTCACTGAAGCTTTCCCTAATGTTGTTTTCCCTTTTCAAGCTTATTTGTCCTGTTTAATCTACTTTTAACATGTTTAATAAAATCATTACAATTCCATTTACAGAAGTGTAAATCATAAAGAAATTCTCATCGGGTACTCCAGGCAGAAAGCGAAAAATAAGCCTTTCTTACCTATAGAATGGCCTGCCAGGTAATCCAAGGGGATCGATGAAAGCCCTTTCTAGAAACATGAGCTGATCATTTACTGATCTGACAGCAAGTAGGCTAAAAAGAAAGCAGAGGAATATGTTAGCCACAGAGTGTTCGGCCCACTCTCATCCTGTGCCCCAATGTATACAGTTCCGGATTTATGGACAGCAGATCCAACCTAAAGTGTAGCCAACAAGACAGTCCATGTCAGCTAATCTGCACAACAGAATTATGCTGATCTGTACTGTCAGACAGCCTGCTTAATAACCTGAAAGTTTCTTAAAGCTCTTTTTTCAAGGCCAAGGAATAGTGTCAAAGAAGGCAGAGACTTTCAGGTATTTTCTCCCATGTTGCATCTTATTCCCTTATCTCCTCTTCATTAAGACTCTTAGGCAGACCACTCTCTTCTTTTGTATGACAGTTTTTTAAAGACCCTGTTTTCCACAAAGCCAGCTAGCTGCAAATTAATTCAATAAAATCACATTTATTTTTCTGTAAAACCACAACATCTGAGAAACAGGAAACTTGTGATGTTAGAATCATCTTTTGAATCATCTAAGAATTGTGTTTTTTTCTGACGGCAGATTGTAAATTCCCTAGAGCAGAGACCATCTGTGTCTGTGTGCTTTGAACAGCTCTGAGCATACTACTGATGCTTAACAAATAAAAGAACTGTGAAGAAGATTATACTGAATATATGTGGGTTTGGTACTTTACATCAAAAGTAACTTATTGTACAGCTTCAAAGGCATTCACTGATAAAAAAATGGTAAAATTTATATCACAGTAAGCCTGGAGTAACTCTATACCATCAATGAATTTGTTTCAAATTTACATTGGTGTAAATGGAAATTGAAATTGGTTGATTGAATTAATAATTAGATTTAGGCCATCCATCAATAAAACCATTTTGAAAATGTCACATATATGTCTAAGTCATAAATGTTACTTTTTACATAAGAAATTATTATTAACTCATTTATCTTGAAAGTTTTTGCCGTTAAAAAGATGGCTTTTATTCTCACTTCATCTTCCATAAGGGTAAGCATATGGCTAAATGAGATTCTTCCCAAGAAATGTTAACATACACATATGTATATATAAAAGGAGGTTTGGTTTCTCATTCTGGGCATGGCCTACAAAGAATAAATTAAGAATTAAGTCAAGTGCAAATTAGGCCTTTTGGCATAGGTAGTGTACAGAATTTTCTGAAAGCTCGTCAAAAAGCTTGCCACAGCTACAATCATGGTACAGCTATTTATTTGTTTTTTCATTAAGTGGTACCAGTATCTCGAAAACAAGAACGCTGGCAAAGAAGGACCATTAGTCAACATTTGTTCTTTAATGATAATCCAGTAACAAAATCTTAGGATATGTCTCCACTTGGAGGGAGTTACACACCTGAGCTGGCTCTGCTCATGCTAACCAGCATTCTAGTCACCTCCATGTGTCATCCTGGCACTGTTCCTCAACTAAAACCCATCAAGAATTGACATTAATTAGCTTGGACACTTTTTGAAGCTAACATGGCTAGATTCCCAGACTTTCCAGTGTCTCTGATGTCCACTAATTCAACATTTCTACACTTTGTTTCCTAGAGTAACCAGACCCTTAAAGACAAGAGTCCGTGAAGACTTACAATGAAACAAATGACTGAGAGTCATTTGTCACCAAGGTTATTCAGGGGACTAAACGCAAGTGAAGGCTATGCCCTCTCAGCCCAGAGGAGTATTTGACTGGAAGAAAAAAAAGAGTTAAACTTACTTATTGACATCTATTTGTTGCAGTCTTTCATGAAACCTAGCAGCAACTTCTGTAAAATTCTTCACAGCTGAAAAGAGAGCATCTGGAGGGAGCAGGAAGGAAGTTATTTAACTTCAAATTCTGAAGGAATCAGTTAACAAATCAAATTCTTCAAATTAAAGCTTTCTCTTTCACTGGGATCATGATCTGTTAATTCTCATGGAATGAAAATTAGATGACCCCATATGCCTACATTAAAAACCATGTAATTCTGTGTGAAAACTTGCCTTTTCCCACAATAGAAACAATAGACAATAGAAATCAGTATTTTTGTGAATACTGCTTATTGTTTGCTACTTGAATAATCTACAGAAATACCACAAACTAAAGCATGGATTGCCAGAACTAGACTGCTCAGGTAGATCTGGGATTTTATAAATCCTGACAACCTGTCTTCTACTGGTATGCCCCTCCACACATACAGAGTTTTGAGAAAGACCAACAGTATACGTGTGTGTATGTGCACGTGCGCACACACCCCGACATTGGTCATTAGCAGGCAAGTCCTAAACTGAACAGCATATAACATTGCCAATAAAACAGAGGCTTCTCAGGCAGGAGGCATACTGTGAATCCCTATAACATGAAATAATATTGTGACATAGGGATGAACCATTCCTGCCTCACCAAGCCCTGAGGCAAACCTCTCATGGTGGTTGCACTTGCCATTATGAATTGAAACAAGAGAATTTTTGACTGGATATAAGGAGAATCTTTTTACCCTGACAACAGTCAAGCACCGTGGTCCAGAGAAGTTCTGCAGTCTCTGTCCTTGGAGGTTTTCAAGTCCAGATGGTATAAACCTCTGAGCAACCTGGTCTGACCTCAGAGCTGAACCTGCCTTGGGCAGGATGACCTAGAGACCTCCTGAGGTTCCTTCTAACCTGAATTATCCTATTATCAGTGTTGGGACAGAGAATTATCCAACACCATTAGCTACAAAGCAGTGTGATTTTTTTTTTTAGGAACCAAGACAAAGATATCTTGTTGCTAACATCAGTGAACCATGCACAGGTCAAGGAACAGGCAACTGTAAGTGTTAGCTCTACTTGGCAGTGGCACAGTCTCTACACAGGCATATTAGTGACAAAATACTCAAATTTCAAATTATTGGAGGATGTGGCTCTTGTTTTCTCTACTATGCATACAGCACAAGGTAAATATCAGGTCATGAGTAAGACATACATTAAGTTAAGGCACCACTAGCATTAACAGAGGAGGAGTATGATGAAGGACTGTACGTACCAAAGGATACACTGTATGTTGCCAGTTCCTCTTCATGATTCCTTGACAAATTATAGATGATGTGAGCATAGTTGCTCACAGCTGATGCATAATCTCTACAGTCGAAGGGAAGCACAATGGAGTTGGCCAATTCAAACACCAGCCCTCCCCGTACCTGAGCTACTGTCAGATGATTCTTGAAAGCGGGATCATAAAACCTCTCCACAATTTCATAGGTTTCATAGACACTGTGGTAAACTGGATAGCTGCTATATTTTTCTACATTCTGAAACAAACCCAAACAGAATCATTATTCAGCTTCGCTTGAAAACCTTTGTTGTGGGACTGGGATTCAAGACACTGTAAAGTTGAGCGTGCAGGTCACACTACTCTTATGTAGCCACTACAGACAGTCAAATGTAGGAAGAGGTGCTCAGTCACGGCTCTCTTAGACATTGACCTATGTGGGGGATCTCAGCTGGACTGAGGCATCTGAACAGGATGACTTTGACCTTGAGAGGACTCCAGTCTGCCCGTGAGAGAACAGACAGAAGCAAGAAGAGCTGCAGCTGCAAGATAAGCAAGTCCTGAGAAAGTGTCGACTACAAGACAAGGTGTACATGTCCTTTTGGCAGAATGCATGATCACGTGTACGGAAATAAAACAGTATATAAGAAGCAGCTGAATGTTCAACAAATGGCTTTTGCTCAAAATCATATTGGTTGAAGGCAGAGTCCGTCCTTGCACGACCACAGACCTATGATGAGATTAATGGTCATTTGGAGACACCTCTCTCCACTGACAATGTACAGAGCCTAAAGAAGGTAGCTAAGAACAGACACATAACTTGTATTTGGTTAAATGAAGGTGAGATTGTTCTTCTCTTTGCTTGGATCTCAACAGTCATTTCTGTTTGTGCTGTTGGATATGCCTATTCAGAGGAAATGACCACATTGAATAGATTGCTCCTTGAACATTTCTCAATTTGTCTCATCTCACAATATGCTCCAGAGTCAAACCCGTATTTTCCATAAAACATGAACCATTTTGAATTTAAAGCTTCATAAGTTATTATAAATAATTCAAAAGCCATCATACGCCACTCATAAGCCTTCATCAACCACAGGTAATTTTAAGTGCATCCATTTACCCTGAGCAAAGGTCCTTTTGTCCGACTGACACTAAGTCAATCGTTCTTATTTATTAAATTTTGTGTTGTAGCAGCACATAGAGTTCTAGTACTGAACTGGGACTCCAGTCTGACACACTGAACTGAACCACCCCAATGAGCCGGCAGTCTATATGGCTCAATTACAGGTAATATTATTCAGGTAGTTACAGGGGAGACAAAATTACAAAGACAAAGACTTACCCAATTTTTACTGTAACGTGCTCTGCCTGAAGCAATGCCAAGACGTTGAAAAAAGACTTCAAAGTCATTGCCAGAACCCAGTTTATTTATTCTTTTAACAAGAAAGAGGAAAATGCCTTGAGTAACAATACTTAAAGCATAATTTTAGTTTACTTCCAAGTACTGTGGCAATTATTTATTCTACAGTTTCAGTCACTACACAGTCTTTCTCTAGTATGCACTTTCTGTCAACATACCATGAATTGCCTGTGACCCCTATATTACAAGCACTTCATCAACTGCATTCTCGGAGAAGCAGAGTCGTCATTGTCAGGGTCAGAGAAATCAGACTCTCAAGAGAAGAATTTAACTCACTGTCTTTAATCATTGAGAGGACCCAATGACCTTTCCCCTGCT